TTACTCACTCAGATTTTTCAGAGGGGTTGGCGAAAAACCACCAACCAGGAAACGTCCAGATCTTTTGTGCAAAAAAATTGTGACCCGCCAACATCTGCGGATCGTCCCACTTGGCTTCCAGGAGATTGCGCCTTTGTTGGCATCTATGGTGACCAGGCCATTCTGGCAGCCTTGAACACGCCATGTGTGGGTTAGTTCAAATAGAAGAGTGGGGGTACAAAGAGAAGGACATTGATGAGATGCTGAAGGTTGATTTTCGACCTGTCGCACGGTTTTTTTTGGGTCCTTGTCTAAAAGGTGGTCAGGAATGATGAGCCCTCCCTGCAGGGTGTTGTTTTGCAGCGGAAAAAGGATGGAATGGTTCTTCCGTGCGGACGTGGCAAAATTACAGTGAAACAACTAGTATGGGTCCCTATGGGTATGATTTATTTTGCTATTTTCTAACCCAAACTCTGCAAAATTTCCCTTGGGTATGATTGATAGTTGGGTTTAGCACATTGTATCTTTACAGTAACATACTGTACAAGAAACAAAGTGGGACGCAGAGAGAGAAAAAGCATGTATTAACACTTACGCTCATGCTAGTGCGTCGCAAATCTGCTTGCAAAACCTCTCCGGGCAGCAGCAAAATTTTCCGATGGCTGACCCCACTTTTGGGTCCAAATCTGGATCCCAAAACGGGGCCCAGGCAAAGACCTAAAAGAAGGAATGAAAATGTGATCCAATTCTGGACCCATTTTGGGGCCCATATTTGGACCCAAAAATGGGGTCAGCCATCGGAGAATTTCGCTGCTGCCCGCACATGTTGTGCAAGCAGATTTGCGACCCTGCAGCTTGAACATGAATGTCAACTCATACCTTTTTCTCTTTGTGCGGCCCAAGTCCGGTTGCTACTGTACAAGAAACAAAGTGGGACGCAGAGAGAGAAAAAGCATGTATTAAAACTTACGCTCATGCTAGTGCGTCGCAAATCTGCTTGCAAAACCTCTCCGGGCAGCAGCAAAATTCTCCGATGGCTGACCCCACTTTTGGGTCCAAATCTGGATCCCAAAACGGGGCCCAAGCAACGACCTAAAAGAAGAATGAAAATGTGATCCAATTCTGGACCCCATTTTGGGGTCCATATTTGGACCCAAAAATGGGGTCAGCCATCGGAGAATTTTGCTGCGGCCCGCACATGTTGTGCAAGCAGATTTGCGACCCTGCAGCTTGAACATGAATGTCAACTCATACCTTTTTCTCTTTGTGCGTCCCAAGTCCGGTTGCTACTGTCAAGGTCCCTTTATCGCAGCCATGTTTTGACCACTTTTTTGGGCCCTGTTTTAGGGGCCATGATGAAGCAGGGTTGTTGGCATTCGAGGCGCTCCAAGGCTTACCGAGGCCTGCCCGAGGCACGAGGACAAAGCGAGGCTCACGGGGACTCGAATCTATATACTATGGGGGTACGCCCATGCGGTCACCGCAAAACTGCCTGTTTTGGGGCCGTGGTTTTGGAACCTCATTTTGCTCAATCTTGCGGCCGCTTCTTGCTACTTACATGGGGGAAGGTTTTGGCGGCAGCAGGTTCCGAGTCCTTTATGGTGGAGAAATCTATTGCAGGTTCTGGTGCGCGAGCTGAACCACTTCAAGCAGCAGCGCAAAGCGTTGCGACAGGCATCTCAACTGTGTTGCTTTGGCTGATGTTGGCCCTCTTGAGACCATTGCGGAGAACAAGACAGAACAGAAATCGGCAGCAAAGCGCTGCCAGCGGTTGCAAAAAGAACCCCAACAGCCGCCAAGCTAGGATGTGCGTTTTCCCACAGCGCGGAGCGTATAGTTGATGAACTTGGACTACTATACCCTGAAAACCGTGGAAATTTGCGGAAAAACATGGCCAGCGTATAGCGTATAGTTGGTTCAATTCGATAAAAAAACCTTACTAAAAAAAAATATTTCTTAGAATGTGAGCTGACCGGCCAAAATGGATCTCACGCCACAGCGCGGAGCGTTTAGTAGGGTACTAAACCGTCTGGCCCGCAACACCAAAATTGTGTTCTCGCCACAGCGCGGTGGGTTTAGTTGGCCTCTTTGTTTGCACGATTATTTTAGAGATTCAATTTTTTGCGTGACGGCCGCAACACTTGAGAACCCCGTACGGCCATCTGAAAGGTTGAAGCGCGGCTGGATACTTTTATTTGACGCCTCCACATGGAGCAGTGGAAAGGTGGAAGCCGATGGTGCCAAGCACACACTGCCCTGTGGGTAGATCTCCTTCATTGGGGCCCAGATTTAAAATTTCCCTCATTTGCAGAGGCAACCAACAAAGCTATATTTCGTTGCTTGCCCCGTCCATGGAACAAAGCTGAAAAAATTGCAGTAGTGAACTCTTTCTCATCAATGTGGTTGGAAATCAAACAGCGCTCTTGCAGCAGAAGGACAGCGCCCATCACAGTGGCAAGCCCAACCTGAAAGCCTCCACCAAGAAAGATAAACGCGATCTTTGACCCTCAGCTATGATTGCTGTAGCTCCCCTTTTTCTTCACTGGAAGATTGGACTATCTACACACACACCGAAAGCCGGTGTGACGCTCGGAGATTTACAGATGCTTCAAAAGCGGCTTGTGGTGTTCAGATTTACAGTTCCTGTGGAGAATCCCGACATCGGCATTCCTGCAAAGGGGAATCGTCGATGTTTGCGCTTCCAGACTCCAGACTTGCAGTTGCAAATCCAAGATGAGGATTTGACGTATGTTTAAATCCCCGTCCCATCTTCAATGTTGGACGGAGGCTTAAATGTTGCAGTTTCACCTTTTGAACTGATAGCCGTCAAAAAGAAATTTTGCCTCAGGTCACATCCTCAAATTGGAATTCACTTCTTAGTTGCAATAGCATCAACACACCCTCAACATTGACAATGGGGTCGCAGGGGTTCAGTTTGTGGTTGGCCCTTGTGGGGGCCATGCAAGGAAAGATGGCCGTACGGGGTTCTCAAGGGCTGCGCCCACCACGCTTCAATGTTTAAGATGGCCATACTGGGTTCTCAAGCGCAGCGCCTGCCGCGCGTCAACCTTTAAGATGGCCGTACTGTGTTCTCAAGCGCTGCACCTGCCGCACTTCAACCTTTACGATGGCCGCACGGAGTTCTCAAGCGCTGCGCCTGCCGCGCTTCAACTTTGAAGATGGCCGTACAGGGTTCTCAAGCGCTGCGCCTGCCGCGCTTCAACCTTTAAGATGGCCGTACGGGGTTCTCAAGTGCTGCGCCCGTCACGCAAACAAATGGAATTTGTAGAATAATCGTACAAACAAAGAGCCCAACTAAACCCACCGCGCTGTGGCGAGAACACAATTTTGGTGTTGCGGGCCAGACGGTTTAGTACCCTACTAAACGCTCCGCGCTGGGGCGTGAGATCCATTTTGGCCGGTCGGCTTACATTCTAAGAAAGATTTTTTTTAGTAAGGTCTTTTTATCGAATTGAAACAACTATACGCTATACGCTGGCCATGTTTTTCCGCAAATTTCCACGGTTTTCAGGGTATAGTAGTCCAAGTTCATCAACTATACGCTCCGCGCTGTGGGAAAACGCGCATCCTAGTTTGGCGGCGGTGCCTGCCACATGTTGACGTCCTCAAAGGCGGTTTCTTCCACAGTAGCTCCTGCCATGCGTGCCTCGGGCAGGCCTCGGTAAGCCTTGGAGCGCCTCGAATGCCAACAAACCTGCTTCATCATGGCTCCCAAAACAGGATCCAAAAAACCAGTAGAAACATGGCGGCCAGAAAGGGACCTCGACTGTAGTTGGGTGTGGTTTGTACCGAAGGATTTGCTACATTATACTCATATCTGGTTGGTGGTTTCAAACATTTTTAATTTTCCATTTCATATATGGGATGTCATCCTTCACATTGACTCATATTTTTCAAGATGGTTATTGCACCACCAACCACATATATACATATATATGTATGCATACATATACCCTCTGGTAAACAAACAGTTTGCTATTGAAAATGGCCATAGAAATAGTGAGTTTTCCCATTAAAAATGGTGATTTTCCATAGTTTTTTGTATGTTTACCATCCAATCATTAATCATTAATAATTAATCCATTATTCCATTAATCCATTATACATATACATATGGATTTCATTGTTGGACACTCCAATTCATGGCAATTCTCATGAGGAACGCTGGTAATGAACACTGGACAACCTGGGGTACCATCCATTTTGAGACAAACGCATATTTTTCTGATGGTTATTTCCTTCTCCGCAGACAAAAATAAAATATAATATAATATATATATAATATAATATATATATATATTATATCATATGTTATATATTATATATTATATATCATATATTATATATCATATATTATATATTATATATATTATAAAATAATATATAATATATAATATCTGATATATGATATATAATATATAATATATAATATATAACATATAACATATAACATACAATATATAATATATTATATTTAATATATATATAATGTTATATATATATAATATTATATATATAATATAATATATGATATATATAATATATATATAATATTATATATAATATAAATATATATTATACAAATCAATGAATAGATAAATAAATAAATAGATACATAGATAAATCAATAAATACATCTACTTATTCCCAGAATTGGTTTAACGGAAATCGTCAGGAAGGCACGTATTTGGTGGCACAAAAAAAACATCTTTCCTGTAGACTTTTCCCTTAAACCAACCTGATTCTCAAGTTTCTGAGTAAAATCCCAAAATTTCTGATTTTCCCTCAGTTTTGTAAGGGGTTATACCGTATACCCATCTTTCACCATTTTTGTCACCAGTTTCCTACATTTTTTTGTGGGTTCCAAGCCATCTTTCGAAACGGCCAGGATGACTTTGCCTTGGTGCTCATGGAGGACGCGGATGGTGAAGTGCTCTCGTTGACGGAGGAGTACCCCACCAGCGATCGTTTCAAGGTGCGTCCCTCATAGTTTTTGAACATTCATAGAAAGTTACAAGTGGTGCCCCCCCAGTGATGGCTATGTTGGTTTATAACCTGGTTGGTGGTTTGGAAGATTAGTTTTTTTTTTCATTATTTTTCCATATATTGGGATTTTCATCATCCCAACTGACTTTCATATTTTTCAGAGGGGTAGGTATACCACCAACCAGATTATGATTAACCATCATTAACCATATAATAACCATCATCATTAACCACCATTAACAGTATATTAACCATGGTATACCACCAACCTATTAAAATTATGGGTGCACGATAACTGTTATAACCCCCATGAAGTAGCTTGGTAGATCTACCGTGTTTACTTTTAGCGAACACACGGGCACCGCCGTTAGTTTTAGGAGTTAGCCTCTGGTTATTTAAACGGAATTCTGGATTAATTATCGATCAATCACCATGAATTATGGATTAATCACCAGTAATTATGGATTACCCTCTGGTTATGACTAACATAGCAAACTGGAAAATGAACCATTTATAGATGATGTACCTATTATTTTAATGGTGATGTCCCATAGCTATGTTAAATAACCAAAGGGTAAGATTTAACTCTGATGGGTGAATGCCACTCCGCAACCGACTGCCTTAATTCTTGGGTACCCTTAGAGTTGAAGGTGGTAGGTACTTTTTTTTTTCTGTGGGATCCAAGAATCGAAGTGGCAAGCATGACCCAGAAAATGCTCGAACTGGGGACATTCCATCTATGGCCATGCTGGCCAGGAACCGATTGAGGACGGAGGTACCGATTCCAGAAATATTTTGGGCCTATCAATTTTAGGCCTAATTTTCAGGGAACATCCCCACAATTCATATGGCCAGAAATATGGTACGTTTATGTAGCTCCATCTGTTCGGATCCTGAAATTCCCATTGATCTATGGGATGTACCCTCTGGTAATTTAACGTAGCTATGGAAAATCACCATTTTTGATGGGAAAATTCACTATAAATGGCCATTTTCAATAGCTATGTTAGTTTACCAGAGGGTAATAGGATCAACTCTTCTCTACTGAACGGTCGTGGTGGATCTTTGTGAATGTAGTTGACCATGGATCCTTTCGTCGTTTCGTCGATGATGGCAGCGTTGTCTCGAAAATGGGCCATGCTGGGATCCAGCATTGGATGTTTTTTTAAATGTTCATCCTATCGGATCTACCCTCTGGTTATGACTAACATAGCCATGGGACATGGCCCATTTAGTTCGATGGTTTACCTATTAAAAATGGGTGGATCTTTCCATGGCGAACTGTTAGTCATAACCAGATGGTATCATTTTGGAGGTATTCAAAAAAAAATGTACCCATTGATATTCCATTCAAGCACCATTAAGATAACTATGGCTTCGCTTACTAGGTCAATCTTAGATGGATACTTTAATGCTTTAGTCTTTTGGTATTAATGGGAATATCTACGTTCACCAGCAATGAAATTGTCATTTTTTGCAGGGTATCTGGCTGATTGGCAATGATTTATAGTGATTAGCCTCTGGTAAACGTTTACATAACTATGGAAAATCACCATGTTTAATGGGAAAAATCCACTATAAATCACCATTTTCTATGGAAAGATCCACCATTTTTAGGTGGGTAAATCCACAACTTCGCCGGCTCCAGCGTGTCATCAACATGGCATCAATGGGACCCATTGCCGGCCTCCATTGAGTGCAATGGGGATTTCCCATTGCTACGTTTGATGACAGCGGAGGGTGTATATATATTATATTATATGATATTGTATTATATATATATATACTACACTATATTCTGATATTATATATCATATTATAATCTGATATTATATGAAATATTATAATATTATATCATATCATATTTTGATAATAATGAACTGAACATACCGTATAATTTACTATATATACACAATATGTAATCATCCAAATAATCATTAATATAATGTAGTATCCTAAGATGTCCCGTTCTATCACAATATAGCAACCCCCCCGAAAAGCATAGACCTTTCTGCATCTTTCTAGGGAGGCTCTCTACTTTGGGAGAATTATCACATAAGATTTTACTTTTCTATCTCATTATGGGGGTTACAATTTATAATAATATGCATATGTACATATATATATATATACAATGTGTATATAGATTTATGTATATATATATATACATGTATATTTATTTGTTTTGAAATGACTGATTTATAGATTAATTTCGCTAGAAACCTTTATTGAGTTCGGGGATGTCTCATTACTACGTTTGATGATACAAGAGGGTATATCATCATTATCCCCTTAAACTACCATTATATCCCATTAAGTCCTTGTGAATCACAATAAAATCCCATTAGACAAAGATGTCCAACTATAATATATACCAATATAGTACCCCCTGGCAAAGATAGACAAGTACAACCCTACTAAAATAGTGATGAATTGTATAATATCCCTATAGATGTTTTCAATACTATTAGTGGATAATTTATATCCATCGTTATACCATTATATATATATATAATTGTTCGACACAGAAGGTGGAGATATTGTATACATATATATATATATACACACTTTATTATATATATATACATATCTACTATATACACATATAACATCTAATATAATATATATATATATTTATTACATCCCCATGATATCCCACGATTTCGCACATGGAACGATCCCCCAAAAAAATCCAGCAGGTCAACAAGTTTGCCGTGGCCAAGACGCACGTGCGTGATGCGAAGAGGGGCGCTGAAGCTTGGCGGATAAATCGATGGTAGCCGACATGGTAAACATACAAAAAAACGATGGAAAATCATCATTTTTAATGGTTTTTAGTGGATAAACTATGGAAATCGCCGTTTTTAATGGGTAAATCAACTATTTCGACTGGGCCATTTTCAATAGCTATGTTTGTTTGCCAGAGGCTAGTTCAATGGGATTTACCCTAGGGTAAACTAACATGGGGATGGGTCAAAACCTATGAATTTACCATGTTTTGGGCCCATAAACCATCTATTTTAGGGTAGTTAGGGTACCAGGGTTTTGACTCATATCCATGTGGAAAACCAATGGGGAAACCCCAGGACAATCGTCTACAAAGGGTTGATTTTTCACATCGAACTGTTACCCTAGGGTACTGGTAGTTGGGATTAAATGGTGATTTTAATCAAGACTTGTTTGGGAATTCAAGAAAACTGGAATTTTAATCCGTCAACGTATGCCTGTGTCAACAACAAGTTTGTTACCCTCTGGTAATGACTAACAGTTTGCGAACTGGAAAATCACCATGTGTATGTAAACCATCGAACTAACTGGTCCTGGCGTATGTGGTAAAAAAAATTCCCCTGCTGAAGCATGGAGTGTTTTATATGAACGGGGAAAGGGATTACCCTCTGGTAATTTAACATAGCTATTGAAAATGACCATTTATAGTGGATTTTCCCATTAAAAATGGTGATTTTCCATAGCTACGTTAAATTACCAGAGGGTAATTATAGTTGCTGAGTCTTAAACCCTTCTATCCCCATTAGTCTCCCATGACGTCACCATTATATCCTCTCGGTTCCTTAAAAACCAACAAATTCCATATTATTCCATGAAAATTAGCTGCTGAAAAAACGATGAAAAAAAGTCCATTGGTTAGTTATAACCAACTACAATCATCCTTAAGTAGAATATGGTAGTCACTCTTCAAAAATCATTTCACTTTAGTCAAAATGTTTGAAGTTGAACCATATTCTATCAACTCCAGGATGACTATATGCATGTTCCTCGATTATTCTATATACATTATGAACCATTAATAACACATTAATCCGTTGGTTATTTGTATATTATAAACCATTAATAACCATTAATAAATCATTTTTTTTTCGTTTGTTATTTGTACATTAATAACCCATTTATCCATTGGTTAGTTCTACTATTCGTTGCCGACATCAACCGCAACATCAACATGAACCATCCCACAGATGTTGTGCAAAGAGGTCTTGAAGAAGGCCGACTTCGAGACCGATTCCGCGTCTCTCGGCTCGGGAATCTGGGGGGTTTTGTGGGTCAACCGACTGGTGAATATACGAAGTAGTTCTTGAATCTTTTGCTCTCAATGCATCAATGCTATAATGATGTGCTAATTAGCTAAAAAATGTATTCATGATATTATCTGCTATCAATGATATTATGAAATAATGATGTGCTAATCCTCAATGTGCTATATAATTATATAATGATATAATATATGCTATTTAAATCTTCTGCTATCAACGATATAATGATGTGCTAATTGGCAAAAAAATGTATTTTTTCACAGGTATAAAAACTAGGTTCACCATGGAATTTATTTTAAAATTAGTTCTCACTTAGAGGATTTTTAGAGGATATTTTGAGGATCATCCCCTGCATGAACGATGCGAAAATGACAAGCAGTAAGCCACGGTTTGAAACGGCTTGATCCTTCAAGTCCCCTCTGGTTATGTCAAAATAGCTATGGAAAATCACCATTTTTAATGGGAAAATCCACTATAAATGGTGGTAATTTAACGTAGCGAACTGGAAAATCACAATTTTTCATGGGAAAATCCACTATTTCGACTGGGCTGTTTTCAATAGCTATGTTAAATTACCGGAGGGTAAGCCATGTGAAACACATGGTGATTTACTTACTGGTGCTCAACTACGCAGGGAAATTTCGGGAATGATCCATCAGTCATCACTAGTAATAAATAATCATCCCAGCAACCCCCATTCCCAAGCCATCCAGCAACCCTACGTAAAACGCACCAGTAAGTACGTTCTTACCCTCTGGTAACGTTAACATCACTCTGGAAAGATCCACCATTTTTCATGGGAAAATCCACCATTTCTATAGCCATTTTCATGTAAACGCTTTTTGTACGTTTTACGTACGCCGGGTAGATGGTTTATTGGAAATTCACTGGGAATGTCTTTTTTGGGATATGGGATGATCAGATTATTCAAGAGTAACGGGATGTTGAAAACCTTAGTTTCAATCTATAGCAAAGTAATGTTGAATCTATTTTTGTAGGATTTTACTTTACATATGTTTCTATCTTTTTGTGGGTTGCCATAAATGTTTTTTGCAAAATCCCCTCAACAAACAGTTTGACACTGAGAATCACTACTTTTTTGCAAGAGAATGAGTAATCTTCCCAACCCCCAACTCATGCTGGGGTCTGTCGTAATGGGAAGGAGGGTAGGATTTGATCTACACTTTCTACGATATGTGCATGTTTTAATGAAATACATAGACAGTATCGTAGACACTGGTATGATATCATATGAATAAATGTCAACATATGTACATAAGAACAATGTCAACATATCCTATGTACATTCATAATTTGAGCATTATTTGAAATACTGTTTTTCATGGGCCAGCAAAATCCTACATCACCATTTTTGGATGGTTGAAACCCTATACCCTCTGGTAATTTAACAGTTTGCTATTGAATATGGCCATAGAAATAGTGAGTTTTCCCATTAATAGCATGGTGGATCTTTCCAGTTCGCAAACTGTGACAGTTTACCGGAGGGTATCCCATTATTTATAGGGTTTCAACCATCCAAAAATGGTGATGTTATGGGAAAATCCACTATCATTGACCATTTTCAAGTTCGCTTTTTGTATGTTTACCAGAGGATAAACCACTTATGAACTGGTGCTTCGGATTTCGCTGGCCGGCCCATCCACCGAAGTGATGTCAACGAAGCCATCAACTGCCATGGGCTGAATCGCAGTTCGCTGGATGAAAAACCTATGGTTTTCCTGGATAATGGAATAGTAATGGACTATGAACTATGGGCCAAAAGGGGTATCGGACGTATTGTCCTAGTGAAACCTTGCAAACCGTTGCAAACTGATACTATTAATATGAATTTGATCAAGATGAATGGACTGGTTTATGGAATTAAAAAATCCATGATGGTTATATTCACAGTGAATATTCATCAAGAACGTAGTGGAGTATTGACTATGGTTTATGGATAATGGAATAATATCCTTGGATATAACGAACGGACAATGGAATATTATTAATGGAATATGAACGGAATAACCATTGAATGGGACAGTCTGGGACACTGGAATGTCTTCCAAAACAATCATCCATTGATGGATTTTCCATTAACCAGCCACTTAGGGGATCCCCCATGTATGGAAACCCCCATATATCCTCTGGTAAATATACAAAAAAAACTGTGGAAAACCACCAGCTTTCAATAGGTAAATCAACTATTTCGACTGGGCCATTTTCAATGGCAAACTGTTAGTTTACCAGAGGCTATCTAGTTTCATAGAAATGATATAAACCACCACATCACTGGCCTTCCTTGACCTTACACCACCCGAAAAAAAAAGTCGGAACTCGCGCCGAGGTCCTTTGTGGCTCCCACCGCCCTGACGGTCTTCAGCGGCCGTGCGGATGCGCCAACTTCGCTGTGCAGCATCAACCTGGAAGCCAAGCAAGGTACAGCTGGTGCAGAGGGAAACTATGAAGAAATGGGGGGGGGATAGAACCAGCAAAAAGACATGTTGTGCCATAAATAATGGGCATTCATGTGGTTTCTAGGGATTTTTTGTTGCGATTTTTTTCGGGATTTTATAGTGTTTTCATGAGATTATAGTGGGACTATTAATGGAATATCAATGAGTATTAATGAAGAATTTTTGGGGCAGTTTTCGCTATTTAACAACGAGGATTTCAGGTTGGGTATATATTGGATTGGATTTCCTGGATTTTCATAGGGATTGAAGTGATTTTAGCATCAACCGCGGATTCGATATCAACTGAGTAAATGCGAACTCACCAGCAGACTTCATCATATTTCATCATATTTCATCTATTGACTAGGGGGACGGGGGTTAGCTTACTCATGGCTGGGGTCAAAAACTGAACTTGAGAAGTGTTTCATGGATTTGAATGTTACATTCCCAAGAGTCCACACATTATCCGTGGTAAAACACCTATTGAATCACGTGTCTCTGAATGTTACATCCTCAGAAGTCCCCACTTTTCCATGGTTCAAATCCCCCTAAATCCATGGTTCAAATCCCCCTAAATCAACCCTTTTTTGGTATGTGAAACCCCCATATGTTTTTCGCGAAAGCCAGGCTCCGTGACTCGCAAGCTGTCTGAGGAGGCTCTGAAAATCATAGGAATCTCATGGGATCGGGATTTACATATTGTGATTTGATTAGATGAAATGGGATATCAACGGGAAAAAAACTAGGATATCAAATATGTGATTATATGGGATATCCCATTTGATATTCTAGTTTACTATCCTAGTTTTGAAATGGGCTATCATACTGGATATATATATATATAGCGGGAGATTCATGGGATATCTCATGGGATGATGTATCATAAGGATATCATGGAGAGATCATGGGGAGAAATGGGAATAGCCAGAGTCTTAACATGTTTCAGCTAACACGACTTTGGATTTAATGGTGATATATATATAATATAATATAATATAATATAATATAATATATAATATAATATAATATAATATATATATATAATGTCTCATAACCGACAATGGCTTCCAACTACCTTTCAGGGAAACTTGGAACCATGGATACCCTTTGGTAATCAAACATTGCAACGGAAAGCATTGAAATTCTCCATTTTCAGGTTCGTTTTCCTGGATTTTCCTATATTTCCTCATGATTTTCCCATTAAAACCTCCAATTTATAGGGGGATTGTTCAGCCATGTTTGATGACACCGGATGGTGGATATTTTTCAAGGATAATGAGGTGGGTCAAACACAGTCTAGCGGGTGGTTTCTACATGGCTTCTACGGGATGGGATTGATAGGAGATACCTGGCAAAGTGACATACCTTCTGGTAAACTAACATAACTATGGAAAATCACCATTTTTAATGGGAAAAATCACTATAAATGGCCATTTTCAATAGCTACGTTAATTTACCAGAGGGTAACTATGGAAAATCACAGCATGTTATGGGATGAATAAGTAAATGAGATGAATCACTGCCATTTTCAATAGCTATGTTAATTTACCGGGGGATAGGGATTTAATTTAGAGGATAGATAACATCAGAATAGGAAAAACGGAAATAAAACTGGATTTCCTTGGGGAACGGCAAAATTTTGGAAATCCCAGGAACACTTGGTGAAATCCACAGGTGCAATCCCCAATCCCCAATGCACAGGTGTAATCCCCAGGCAATTCATTGGGGTGAAATACTGGCATTTCTAATGGGATTTCACCAGCAAAATGTTCCTGGGGATTACGGTTTTTTACTAACCAGTGGATTGGGGGCGACCAAAACAAAACAAATTTTGAATAACATCCCATGATTTGGGCGCTTAGAATTATTGATTCCCCTAAATCAATGGATTGGTTTGTTGGGGAAAATCTTAACCGGAAACCATCGATTTTCCCATGAAGATCATGGGGCTTTCCTGTAGATTTTCCCTTAAACCAATCCATTGACTAAAATGTGAAAAAAACAACAAACTCTGTGGATGCTTTTTTAGCAACATGTGGATGTTTTCAAACAGACTTGGATGGTTGATGCTAAGTAATGACAAACAAATTGGGCTTCTGAAAATTTGCGCACGGCCCAAAGCCATTGCTTTCCAATTTCGACTCGCCGCTTTTTGGGTCCATTTTCATATTACATATGTATATAATATTATATAATTATAATTGTGTATATATATATCCCATAGGATCCATGTATGCTATATATGCTAACATAACTGGGGTATATTGATGGGATCCATGTTGCCATATATAGCAGCACCATGGATCCTTCATGGGTATAGAATGTTTACCTCACACCATCCCCAACTAACTGACGAATGCTGACTTGCGACGAAATTGTCGGTTGATGAGCCCATGAAATTAGTTTGATTTATCCACCACAACTTGGAGCTGAAGATGAAAAAATGTATGTTCCCATTAAGAGAAAGCCACTACAAAAAACATCAAAAAACTACTTGGGGAATCTAAATACAAGAATATGTCTTATTTCTTGTTTGGTTCCTTAAGCAAATCCAAGATAAAACCAAGCACATTCGCCTAGATATTTTCACCAACCAGCACCCTATTGGGTGCTCCTTCCAGTATGCAATCCCCTTGAATACACTATTCATGGTGAACGTCCCCCAACAAGTGACGTATACATTTCCCGCCAATCTGAATAAGGCGATCCATGGCTTCCATAGCTATGTTATGACGAGTGAATTAAACTATATAGTGATATATATATACCAATATATATATATATCCCAATATATATATAATTAAATCCCAATATATATATATTATTTCAATAAGGCAATGAATCCCATTAAGTATAGTTATAGTCCCATAAGCCAATCGACTGAAATTTTCCAGGTCTCCGTGGTGGAGCTCGGCTTAACGGAAACCGCCCAGTACGCAGGATCGACCTTGGGCAGCAAGGCACGGAGTTTTGCGGAGTCCCCGGAGCCGATTTCACATGGAACATGGATTTAATGAGATTTTATGGGATTTAATGGGATTTTAATTGTATTTTATGGGATTTTATGGGATTTTATGGGATTTAATGGTATTTTAATGGTATTTTAATGGGATTTAATGGTATTTTATGGGATTTAATGGGATTTAATGGGATTTTATGGTATTTTAATGGGATTTAATGGGATTTCAATGGGATTTAATGGGATTTTAGTGGTATTTTAATGGGATTTAATGGGATTTTAATGGTATTTTAATGGGATTTAATGGGATTTTAATGGTATTTTAATGGGATTTAATGGGATTTTAATGGTATTTTAATGGGATTTAATGGGATTTTAATGGTATTTTAATGGGATTTAATGGGATTTTATGGTATTTTAATGGGATTTAATGGTATTTTATGGGATTTAATGGGATTTAATGGGATTTTATGGTATTTTAATGGGATTTAATGGGATTTCAATGGGATTTAATGGGATTTTAGTGGTATTTTAATGGGATTTAATGGGATTTTAATGGTATTTTAATGGGATTTAATGGGATTTTAATGGTATTTTAATGGGATTTAATGGGATTTTAATGGTATTTTAATGGGATTTAATGGGATTTTAATGGTATTTTAATGGGATTTAATGGGATTTTATGGTATTTTAATGGGATGTAATGGGATTTTATGGTATTTTAATGGGATTTAATGGGATATATGATGGTTACCCTCTGGTAAACGTTTACATAGCGGGAAAATCACGATCTTTTAATAGGTATATCATGGTAAAAATAGATGTCAACGATTTCTATGTGCCATTGAAAAAATAGCGCTATGTAACAAATTGCCAGCGGGTAATCATGTATTAATCACCATTAAATCACCATTTTCCTATGGTTTTCCTATGGTTTTCCTGTGGTTTTCCATGGTTTTTGGGCACAGGATGACCCTTTGTTTTGGCGACATGGCCACGGCATTCTTGCGACCGGGAGACCTTGGAAGTTGGATTTCGGATGGAAACTGGTGGTTTCACACCATGGAATTTTAATGGGATATGAACGGGGATATAACGGGATATAACTAAACAACGACTGTATATGATTATTGGGTGTGGAACTGACAATGGCGTCTCTGTTCCCACGGAATACCTATGAACCAACCAGTATTTCATGAGAAACGGTTATTTCTAGATGGTTCATATAGGGAATGATTGTGAATCACTCACACTTTCCACACTTGGTTTAAGGATCCCGGAAGAATTTCAGGAAACTCCCATAGTTGGCAGGTAAATTAATGGTTTTGTGTAGATTTCCTCACTAAATTAATCCATTGGTGGTAGTAATTACCAAATAATCACCACGCAATAATCACAAAATACGCTCATTCTATTTGTATAGTCATCCTGGAGTAGATAGAATACGATTTTCCCCAACTATCTCTCACTACTGCATGGACATATCTTTTGCAAATTCCATTTCTTTTGAAGCGGTATATCATCCAAGACTCCCCATCAAAGATAGGTCAAAGCCATGGTAAAACCACAACAGTTTTCGGCATGGCGCATCCATGGCATGGCGCATCCATGGCTGGCGCATCCGCAGGCGGAGTTGTTGGAGGACATCGCCAACCCAAGTAATTGGATCCGTGATGCCTCCCGCCACTCGGCAACGTGGCAACGTTGGACCTCAGCGTCGCTTAAGGGTCCATCACCACCGTGGGGACCCAACAAAAAATGAGGGGATGAAGAATTGGTGCACCATGAAGGATTTTTTTGGATTTGGGATATGACTATGATATAACTTGACCAAAACATGGGGGATGAATTGATGAAACCCAGGAGTTCCACCAGTTGATGAGTGTTTGATGGGGATCAAATGGGGATATTCAGATAGTTTTTTTTTTTTTTGCGTGGAGTTGTTTTTAATGTTTTTGGGCATTATGAACCATAAACCGAAGCATTATGAACCAGTATTGGCCATTATAAACAAGTATGACCCTCTGGAAAACTAACATAACTATGGAAAATCACAATTTTTAATGGGTAAATCCACTATTTCTATGGCCATTTTCAAGTTCGCTTTTTGTATGTTTACCAGGCCGGGTATATCCATGGTACCCGAAGAACTTCACACCGAGGACAACTCAGTGGCTTCAGCATTGCCACGGCCAACGGGACCGCGACGGAGACCACCAGCATGCAGCCCGGCAACGGCACCACATCGATATCGATGACGGAGAGCACGACGATGTCGGTCACTGAAACGGTGACGGTGGCCATGACTGCTGCTTTGGCAAAGCGGCAAGGGGCACCCGCGGCATCAAGAAATGTGCATTTTTTCCAAACGCGGTTTAAACATCTGGACATGTGCCTTTCAAAAACACAGTCTTTTTTGGGCATTGAGAAATGATGAGAAATGTGCCACGGTCAAGTTGCATGATTTGGATTGACTTGGTATATATATATATATGTATATATATATGATGCATATGATATGTATTATGTATGGTAGGTCGTACCACAGTGGGAATCCTTTTGAAGGGTCTATGGGTCCCTAATTAGTTGGTCCCTATGGATTGATGACACCATTCCCTTGATCTATCGGGACATTTCTTTCTGATGAAAAAAATTGACAACTCTTTCTCTTGACATAACATCCCTTTCCCTGGATAGGTGAAATTTTCCTTCAGATCTCCTGAAGCTCCTACTGTTCACTATAACCCAAAGTTTCTCTACGAAACTTCCTTTGACTATGGTCGATTGACTTCTCACCATTCCCCCACCGCTACCCATCGCCCGAGAAAGTCCTTGCACCGGTCTTGGTGTTTCATCTCCTTCCCATTCATCAGCAGGAACTGGAGGTAGACTTTCTGGAGTTGCCCGGATTGGCGGTAAGGCGGCTGGTCTCAGCCTATCCTCGCTGCATCTTGTACTCCTTGGGACCAAAAAGGGTTCACCTGCTCATCCTCATTCAAGTGAAGATGCCCTTCTCGGTGTCCTGGAACGCTTCTTCCTCGTCGATGCGCCATGTTTCAGCGACGAGAGGCACGGTTTGGGCTCATAACCTGCTAACGGAGCAGCACGAGCACCGCTTTTTCTTGGGCTAAAGAAGCCTGCGGTAGAAGGTTATTGTTATCCACCACAGCTTGTGTTTGTAGCACAGATACTACACTTGTTCATAGCCAAAAGGCCAGTCTCTGAAAACCCTTTTGCATTGGGAAAATCAGTTATCATACTGATAACAAAAAATATCATACATATTTTTGGACCATTTTCCAGAGCAGCAAATGATATCAATCCCGAGGACAGGGATGGACTATCACTCTATAGAGTAGATGTATATATATATAAACATATATACACATATTACACGCACAAATATAATATATATATATATGTTATTAATATTAATATATATATATATATCAATAATATCTGTATATATATATGTATATATACATTAATAATAATAACAATAATAATAATAATAATATATATATATATACATATATTATATACATTAATACATACATATCTTCTTAGCACTTGATTTTTTTGCGTTTGAACATTGTTGGTTTTATCCGCATGGGATGGCGCCGATGATGATCTCACTGGATTGTTTTTTTCCCACCTCTTAGCCTCCAGTAAAGTAACAGTTCGACCCTGCCAGATAGTGATACCACTCAAAATTTGTGATTTTACTGGAAGATAGTGATTTTCAGGGTCGAACTGTTAATTCACCCCTATGCCAGATAATTGGAAGATGAGTGAAACCACTAAAAATTGGTGATTTTCAGGGTCGAACTCTTAATTTACCAGAGGGTAATTAGTTACGAAAACCAGGAGAGCGATCCCTTTACCCCCTGGTAATCATGCACTTTGCGAACTGGATTTTTTGGCCCATTTACTTAACGATGATTTACCGAACTTCAAAATGCTCGTTCCTGAAAGCAAACTGTACAAGATTGGCAGAGGCTCCGAATTAAAGCCCTTTAATCCCATTAAATCCCATTGGAACCCCATTGGACTCCCATTAAAATCTTACTCATCATTCATCCCATTAAATCCCACTGAATCCCATTAAAATCTCATTCAAATCACATTGAAATCCTCTTGAATCCCATTAAAATCTCATTAAATCCCATGGAATTTCCATCAATTCCTTGAAATGCCATGCAACTTCCCTGAAATGCGACGTCAATCGATCCTGGTTTCCCCTTCGGTTTTCACCGTCGCAGGGCACCACGCCGGAGCCCACGAATGCGTGAAACCCCGGCCCCATCCCCCCATCCTCCCGGCTGCTCAGGGCACCAGCACCGATACCACCGTCCCCGAGGACGAGGGACACCCGGATGCCGCCTGCCACAGCGGCCTGGCCTTTGGCCTCTTGGCTAAGCCATACGGAAAATCACAATTTTTGGATGGGTAAATAGTGGGGTTAATAATCGTGATTAATCATAATTAATGCTGATTAATGGTGGTTAGTTCATAACCAACTCATAACCATTGTGAACCCTCTGGTAAACTGTGACATAACTGTGGAAAATCACCATTTTTGATGGGTAAACTGTGACTAGGTCAATCTTACATGGATACTTTTATCCTTTAGTCTTTTGGTATGGGAATATCTACGTTCACCAGCAAAGAATTTAATTGTTTGCAGGGTATCTAAAATTGGCAATGGTGACATAAGTGTGGAACATCACCATTTTTGATGGGTAAATCAACTATTTCTATGGCAATTTTCAATAGCAAACTGTTAGTTGACCAGAGGGTATTTCAAGCCATGAGGTTTCAATCAAGGACGTCTCTGTACATGATGGGACTTGGATGGGGAGAATCATCCCAAAAGACATTTTTTGTCAGATTTCTAGCTTAACCGACTGGATGGGTACAAACTTGTTTTTTTTAGTCTTTTGGTATGGGATTCTCTACGTTCACCTGCAAAGAATTTGTTATTTTTTGTGGGGTATCCAAGATTGGCGATGACATGAGATAACCATTTTTTTCACCCATTAAGTGGGGCAATTTCATTCCACACCCCGTAGTAGAATTTTCTTGCAACCCCCAAGAAGAGTGAAGAACTTGTTCCAGCTGCCTAGGTTTGCTGTTGGCCATGGTCGGACGTAGCATCTTCTAGATGAAGGAGACTCACTGAGTACCTCGAGCTCTGGAAATGGCCTGGGGCGTGTGGATTTTACTATAGCAAGTTTGATGCGGTTTTGGGATGTTGCAACCTGGATTTTCGGGATATACCACATTTTTATACATTTTTCAGACACAAAAAAGGGTTTTTGTTTGAATATTTCATAGTTACCCCAAAATTTGATTGTTGACCATGGTTCTTCCCAGCAAAAAGTAACCCATAACCCATAGATGAATTTCTTGGGGTAACTACAGGGATCCACTACGAATGGGGAAGAAGTGGACATGTTGAGACATGTTTTTCACATCGGGATTTTGCCTGGTCTGATAGGGCCCCAAAATTTGATGCTTGATCATCATCAGTTTGATGGTTGATCATCATCATTTTCCCTACTAAAATTTCAAACATGCACTAAGATAGCCGTGAAACTTCTTGCACCGCGACGCCACGAGGTCGCACTGAGCCCTGCGGGCGTAAACTGCAGCCTGGAACCTCGAAGGTTCACACTGGATGGATCCAGGGTTCACGGTCCGAAAATCTGAGAACTTTTTCGGACAAAACATGATGGCTGATGATGGGGTAACTCTTCCCAAAATCTCCCCCCCCGAAAAAAGTCAAGTTGGTGAGTCATGACAGATACATATACCGTATCCAAATGAATCACTGATTGTTGTGCGCTTGGCGCATGGATTAACCCCTCTATGTCTGGTCTGTCATCAAAATTGGGGACATTTTTTGAAGGCTAGGCTTAGCGAATCTTGGCGACAGCTTCAAATCGACATGCCATGCTGATGGGATTTAACCAACCAATGCCAACCGGTGAACCGTAGAACCCCAAGATGGTGAATGAACCCTGAGACTTCGTGATTGTTGGTCACCTTTGTGGGATGGTTGTTGAGCCCTGGAAACACCTCCAGTGTTGCCATTCCGAGGAATCTTTTGCATGTCGAGGATTGCCTCGACATACCACTTTTCAACGCTGCTTCTTGGTCCCCAGGTACTTCAGCTTCATCAGATATCCGCCTTCTTGGAACATTCCGTAACACTTTGGGGGCAAGGAGAGCGCACAGAGAGCGCAGGAACCCATGCTTTTCCCATGCACGACGACAGGGTCGAGATTGCAGGGTGCTGGTTTTGGTCAACTTTCGTCTCCAAATTTCAGCCGCCATCAGCCCTCCATGTTGTTTCAATTTTCATCTGGTTGGTGGTTTCAAACATTTTTTATTTTCCATTTCATATATCACGAAAGGTAGCTCCAGTGGGGCTACCTTGAGTTTTGCTTTACGAAGTAAAGGGGAGGGCGGCCAGCCCCGTTACCTGATTATTCAGGAGATTGCTAGTCATTTCAATACCCCCCCCTCCACGCCTCCCACGCACCCTAAGAGCAGACTCAAAACATTGTAATTTACAGTATTTTGTTCTTGTCGGATCACGAAGCCACGTTTTGTTACATGGTGAAACCTTCGTAAATACAGTGTTTGTGCTAGGTGCTGGCCAAAAAGCATTGTAAATACCGTACTTTTTGCTACCAGAGGTAAAAAACATCATCGTACATACCGTGGTGTTGAGCTTCCGACCCGTCAAAAACATCAGTATTTACAGTGTTTGTTGGTCCGCGAAAACACCACCTATATGACGATTTTCGGCCACTACGGAACCGAGAAAAAAAGCTGCAGGGGTAACAGTAACAGTAACAGTAACAATAACAGTAACAGTAAAAGTAACAGTAACAGTAACAGTAACAGTAACAGTAACAGTAAAAACAAAAACAAAAACAACAACAACAACAACAACAACAGGAACAGGAACAGGAACAGGAACAGCAACAGCAACAGCAACAGCAGCAGCAGCAGCAACAGCAACAACAACAACAACAACAACAACAACAGGAACAGGAACAGGAACAGGAACAGGAACAGGAACAACAACAGCAACAGCAACAGCAAACACCAACAACAACAACCCCCAACAAAACAACAAACAGGAACGGAACAGGAACAGAACAGTGAAACAGGAACAGGACACAGGAACACAAAAACAAACAACAACAACAGGAACAGGAACAGGAACAGGAACAGCAACAGCAACAGCAACAGCAGCAGCAGCAGCAACAGCAACAACAACAACAACAACAACAACAACAGGAACAGGAACAGGAACAGGAACAGGAACAGGAACAACAACAGCAACAGCAACAGCAACAGCAGCAACAGCAACAACAACGACAACGACAACAACAACAACAACAAGAACAACACGAACAACACCAACACCACCAACACGACCAACAACACCAACACCACCAACACCACCAACACTACCAGCACCACCAACAAACCCAACCACACCAACAACACTAACAACACTAACAACACCACGAACACCACCAACACCAACAACACCAATAACACCAACACCAACACCAGACTCCACTTCATGTTTTTTCCCTTGCCCTCTCCCCTTTTTTTCTTCGGTTCCTTTCTTGCTCACCTACCCTTCGTGTTCCCCCTCTCAAGTGGGTTTTCATCCTTCCCATTGACGAACTCATATTTTTCAAGATGGTTATTGCACCACCAACCAGTAGTTTTTTTTTGCAAGATTACTGACATTCTTCCTTTTTGTAGATTTCTGTATTATATACATCATCCTGAAGTAGATATCAACATTTCAATTTTCAGGATGTTGTTCATGTTTCAGACAAAAATTTCACCAGAGGCCTGCTGAAAAGCCCCCGACCAGAGTCGTTGGGGGCCATCGACCCTGCACTACGAAGGGTTCCTTGCTGCCGGAAGGATTTTGAGCGCACTGGCCGCGTCAACCTCCGCGCAATTTGCGCGGAGACATGCGACATCTTTGAAATGCCGTAAAACTGTTTTGCACGAAAAGAGAGGGATGAGTTGGGGCGTCCAAACCATAGGATGGATTGGTTTAGTACTTGAATCTTTGGCTACAAATGAGGATATGAATATTATAAATGAAGATCTATGATATGTATTGAATTGTATTGATATGTGCCCAACAGTTTTTTCCTTTGGGCTTAAACCGATTTGTCAGACCAGCCAAAAAATGTTCGCATATATATATATAAACATATATATATATACATTCATACGTACATATATATAATATAACATATGTAATATATATATAATATTATATATATATATTTATTTCATTGAGGACTCCTAGCATGCTTGTAACATATTGACATGTTCTAAGCCATTTTATATCAGGAGGTTGTTCCGTTATTTTTTTTTGCGAGGTGAGAACTCAGCTGTGAGCAAGTTGATTTGTGGTTTCGTTCATCGCTCCATATTGATAGTTTATTCATGTTTATCATCACCTTCCCCAGTATACCCTCTGGTTATTTGACATAGCCATGGGAAATGGCCCATTTTTAGATGGTTTACCTATTAAAGATGGGTGGATTTTCCATGGCTATGTTAGTCATAACCAGATGGTAGATGGTGATTTTGGGGTATACCTTCATTTTCAGACACAAATCCCATGATTTCCTCCAATGTTCTAATCTCATTCGAATCCCGAAAAAATCTAATTATAATCCCATTAACATATCATAAACATATACCATTCCAGTACATCTGATATTAATTTCATTACATTCCATCAACTTCAATTGGGATTCCATCAACTTCACGTCCTTCTGTTTTTTTTCTGTTCCTTGTCACTTCACTTGAAGTTCCGCGTCTCGCAGCGTTGGAACAACCCGCGTCCCAAAAAGTCCCCTGCGGAGCATTTGATGGCGATGAAGTCGTTATTGATGCTGTGCCAATTTGGCTGGGTGGCAGCTCTTTCTCCAGGCGCAAGTCACGTCACGTCGTTAGGGCTGGAAGGTTGATGAGTTGGTTGGTGGCCACGCCACGGCCGGAAACAAAAGATAAAGATCTACTTTATCCACGTGGAAAAGCGATTGCTTTGCCGAATTTACATCATGTTTTGAAATGCCGAATTTTTCCACATCGAACTGTGTATTGTTAGTTTACCACCTCAAACATGGGAAGTCCACGGGCATCCCCTATAAATGCAGCGCCATTGAGCTGGCGGAGGGTACAGATGAAGATCACTGGAGAAACTTTTTGAAACCGAGATGAAGAATTGCCATTTGAAACACATTATGTTAGAATTGAGTTAGATAATATAATAACTATAAAATATAATATAATAACATATAACATAATATAATATACTATATCATAATATAATATACTATAATATAATATAATATGATATACTAATATAATATAATATAATATACTATAATATAATATACTATAATATAATATAAGATAATATAATATAATATAATATACTATAATATAATATAATATAATTTACTATAATAAAATATAATATAATATACCATACTATAATATAACATGCTATAATATAATATAATATAATAGAATATAATATAATATAACATACTATAATATAATATAATATAATAGAATATAATATAATATAACATACTATAATATAATATAATATAATATACTATAATTTAATAAAATATAATATACTATAAAATAATATACTATAATTTAATATAATATGCTATAATATAATATAATATAATAAAATATAATATAATATAATTTACTATAATATAATATAATATAATATAATATAGTATAATATAGTATACTATAATATACTATAATATGCTATAATATAATATAATATACTGTAATATAATAGAATATACTATAATTTAATATAATATAATAAAATATAATATAATATACTATACTATAATATAATATAATATAATATAGTATACTATAATATACTATAATATACTATAATATAATATCATATAAATATATAGTATATATAATAATAACAATAAAAACAATATTAATATAATATATATAATAATCTGCATATAATATAATATCTATAATATTATATATAAAATAATATATATATACACATCATATATATATATATGTATATGATATATATATATATATCATACATTATATATATATTATATATATTGTATTTAATATATATATAATATAATATGATATGATATGATATGATTTGATATGATATATATATACACTTATATACATATAGCTATTAGTGTCCTTGATTTTCATCAAAGATACGAGTTAGCAACAACCGGTGCCAGGAGATTGTGCCTTTGTTGGTATCTACGGCGATCAGGCGCGGTAGGAGATGGTGACCTGTTTTTTGGAAAGAACCATGGAAAAAACATGGAATTTATCTGGGATCTTGAGGATCTTCAAAGCATATCAAACCTATTAAAGATGACATTTTGGAACGTCCACAAATCAGGGAAGATGTCCAGAAAATCCACTTGGACACGTGAATTTGTAGGTCAGCAGATTCCCCCAGCGTGTTTCCCCCAGCAGGTTCCCCCAGCAGGTTCCCCCTTGGGTTTCCTCTGGATTTCCATGGGATTTTCCCATATGGATTGCAGTGGATTTCCGCCAGGATGATTTTGCCCTGGTCTTGATGGAGGATGCGGAGGGCGAACAACTTTCTTTGACGGAGGAGTACCCCACCAACGATCATTTCAAGGTGGACGAACGAAGGAATGGAGAATGGGATGATATGGGAATATATACGAATATATGGGATAATTTTATGACCCTCTGGTAAACATACAAAAAGCTATTGAAAATTGCCATTTAGTTCGTTGATTTACCCATCAAAAATGGGTGGATTTTCCACAGTGTTTTGTATGTTTACCAGGCCGGGTACATTTTTCCTCCAAGCTTTGGCGTGGGATAATCGCCATGACCGTGCCCAAATGGACATACGAGGAAAGTTGGTTATACGGTTATACGCAACTTCCGGTGATCACAGGAAAATTCCAC